CCCCCCTTGAACGCCTTCTTGGACAAACGAGGAGGATCAGACTCCTCCTGAGGGTTTCTGAGTATCCCGCATCAATAATTCAGTAGAACACCATGACGAAGTCCGATATCGTTCACACCCCTAGACATTCTACACCTACCTTCCTGCTACACCTTCTTACTATCTTGCTACTACCCTTACTTTGGGCTTCTTCGTCCCCTTTGCGAAAATTCGGAAATTCCTTTGATGCCAGAAAATTCCACTTTACCCGAAAGAAACCCTTCTTAACACCAACGCTGTGTAGTCCAAGGATCCATTGACTGCATCATAAATATTTCATTTGGCACTAATTATAATTAGAGGCACTTACTACATATATATGTCTACCCATCTCTTTATCGATAATATAATATCAATAAAAACCGGAGCACAAAATCATAATCTCCCGTAATGTTTATAACTCCCCAAAAACAAATTAGAATAATAAATCTTTCTAAAGGTTCTTCCATCGTATCAACTATACCCCAGGGTGCATTATTATCGGCAACTAAGAAAATCATAATGCACGCCACGACGCCGCCTCCTCGACTAATTCAATTAAACGATTCAGCCAACGTCCAGTAGCACCACCACCTCAGGGCAACTTCATCCCATTCTCTCATCTCGCTAGCGTACGTACGTGAGTCCTGCCATCCTGCCTATAGTAACTATCCTGCTTGTGTATAGAACATATAGCTACGTTGCGGGCAAGAACTATACAAATAAAGTAAAAAACGATACATGAAAATAAAATAAGCATAGAATCGTTATATAGTAATGGCGAGGCAACATGGTCCATCTTCTGATTTTCTCATATCCAGCCAGACATCGAGGAAGAGGCTGGATGGCAGCAAAGCAGGAAAACAACGAAGCCAGAAAGGCAACTGCCTTCGCGTAAGTCGATATGGTGGAAGTACGTGAGCTGGAGAGAGACCAGGAATAGGTACCAAAGTCCCTCGGTTCCCGTGGGAGTCGTAGCCTTGCGCTACAATACAATGCTCCTAATGTTACGGCTCCGGTTTCGACATAATTTTTCCACCTCGGACCCTCACCTCCCTTCGACTGTTTTGCCCCCTCATACGTCTCCTCGTTCCCTCTCCCCCCCCTCCCCACCTCTTTCGGGACTATCGGGCCCGGATGTCGGCTACCTCTTTATGGTTCCTTTCTCCCTTTACTCTTTAACCCCTCTCCTGCCACTACACAGAAAATGCTATTTCCGGTCAATCGAACGATTATCGAGAGACTCACTTCTTTTGTGAAAAATAACTTTTCCAGTGGGACGAAGAAATTTCTATGTATAAAAGATATAAATACATATATCTTTTGTATTGTGTCTCTAAGTATACAATAGAGATTCTAGTAATCTTTGAGCCACGCAAAGATAAGGTTTCTTTTAAGGGGGGAGGGTGGAGTATTAAATCCAAGTAATATTAAATATGTGGGAAAGGGAGACACACGACCATATGCAGAGGGACGAATGTAAAGTTTTTGATTCTCTTGAAATGTCTGAAGAGATTAGAACAGAGTTTCCGCGGGAACGAGACTGTAATAAAGCAGCCGGTTACATCCGCCGATGTAAATTATGACTGGCTGCTCTTGTGAAGGAAGAGACGATGAAACAGTGGGCGAGAAGGCGATAGAGAATCAAAGAAAGAACGAGAGAAGGTGACTATAGTTGTTTAAGAGAGAGAGAGAGAGAGAGAGAGAGAGAGAGAGAGAGAGAGAGAGAGAGAGAGAGGGAGAGAGGGAGAGAGAGAGTAAAGAAGAGTCTCGATGACGCGTAGATAAGGGATGGCTTAAAGTCTACGTGATTGGCTTTCCGATGTTGTCCAGCCTGCAAAGCCTGAGAAACTTTTTGTCCACACGAAAATGTCCCTTAGACACAGACGGACAGGCAAAGAGAATAAGACTCTCTCGTCCCCTCATATTTTTTTCGTCTTTCTTTATATCATTATCACTCCGTTTTCTTTCTTCATTCTACATATATTTTTTTCTCTAATAATATCTCCCCCTCTCGTTTCTATCTTTCTATTTACCTGA